ATTACTATATACTATACAAAATATTACAACCTAGCTCATTTCCGTCCTCAAACTTCACGAAACATATGACGTCCTACCGCCCATCGAACCCCTAAATGAGGTCGTCCCTTTCGATTTCGCACTAAATTGTGAACTACTATCAAAAGGTGTAAGTAATCTCAGTCTTATCACATTTCATCTTCTGGCTACCGCATCCTTCCGTAGCGAGTCTTACACCCACTGGTTAAACTGTCGCCAAGGTCCTGGAGCGGCCTAGCCAGTCTCCAGATCTCAACCCCATAGAAAATCTTTGGAGGGAGTTGAAAGTCCGTGTTGCCCAGCGACAGCCCCAAAACATCACTGCTCTAGAGGAGATCTGCATGGAGGAATGGGCCAAAATACCAGCAACAGTGTGTGAAAACCTTGTGAAGACTTACAGAAAACGTTTGACCTCTGTCATTGCCAACAAAGGGTATATAACAAAGTATTGAGATGAACTTTTGTTATTGACCAAATACTTATTTTCCACCATAATTTGCAAATAAATTCTTTAAAAATCAGACAATGTGATTTTCTGGATTTTTTTTTCTCATTTTGTCTTTCATAGTTGAGGTATACCGGATGAAAATTACAGGCCTCTCATCTTTTTAAGTGAGAGAACTTGCACAATTGGTGGCTGACTTTTTTGCCCCACTGTATGTGCTGAGATGCATGTTGCATAATGTTATTTTTTAATAAAATGTGATTTTTTTTCAACAACTCATTTGTATGTCTTAATTTACTGTATTTCTGTATACTCAAGCAATCTTTCTCTGCAGAAACCTCTATGTACAGAGCACAGATGAAAGTGCTTTAGATGTGTGTTATATTTGGTGCTAAAGTTTGCATTTGGTAAGTGTTTATGTAGTTTTGAGTGCAGTTCTTCACTTAGCAGGAGAAATTAGGTGTTTTGCACTTTGGGTGTGTGGTTTTGTGAATTGTGTTTAGTGTTCTGAGAAACTGAGCAATTTAAAATAAATGGTGTGTTAGCAATCGAGAAAAACTGTAAGTAAACGATCTGAGTACAACCCAGAACATTACATTTTATAAAGAAGAAATACGATCCTTTTACAACAAACACTATACGCTCTTTTTAGGGTTTTAATAACATTGTGATCCTGCTACTAGTAATCCCCCAACTTTGTGAAATATATTAATCTTTTTTTTAATGTAGTAACTGTAAGAGAGCAGTATACTGATTACCCAATCCCTGTAATCGTTTACAAACCAAGCCTATCAGTAACAGATAACATGCAGGTTAATATCACTGTTTAGAGATGTACCTATTGGGGATATGTGAACTATAAGGGACATTCAGTTGATTTTGATCAGAAGCTGGTATAATAATACATTGTTATCACCTGATCACATATCTATGTCTTATGACAGCTGAAAGAAGATGATTATAAAGGGATTACTCTGTGGTGAAGTGTTAATGGCAGCTCTGCTCAGTCTGGTGTGCAGAGTGTCAGTGAGGGAGCACCTTGCTGCTGATCATCTGACGCTCAGCTCCGCCCCGCTGCTCCAGTCTGTACGCAAAGCGGCGGCTCCTGTACAACTCAACGCGCGCTCCCCAACACAGGCTGCTCTGCACGAGGCGGAGACGGACTCGAGTTATCTGCTTTGAATAAACAAGGGCTCCTGTGGTGTCTGCTTTCCAATGCATCAGTGATGAGAGTGTCCGGGAGGAGAGACGACGCACGCTTTTCTTCTGTGTGGACGGGGAGACAAAAGTGCGCTCCGTGGTTCAGCATCATCCTCCTCATCCTCCGCTCCTCAGATCATACCTAAGAGACACGCCGACCGAAACCCGACACCCCGAGCGAGGTAACCACATTTCCTTAACATAATTATTGTACTTTGTCGCTCCCGAAATCCACACACACACACACACACACACACACACACACACACACACACACACACACACACACACACACACACACACACACGAGATATTCCTTTATGCAACACTTCAGTCTCCAGCCTCCAACAAAGGGATGTTTTTTTTTAGTTCACGGGCGATTAATTGTTCAATTGTTAAACTAGAATAAATCCAGTGTCGTCTCGCAGCAAGCTGGCATTTTTATCGTTCATTCATGTGAGACGAGTTGCCTTGTCTTCTCCCTGCTGATCACATTTAAATCCTCTGTAATAGAGTATTGATCTAACTAATTAAAAAGCTACATCCAATAAATTAGCTTTATAAGCTCCCGGGAGAACACTCTCCACTCGATCCTTTGGGGTTGTGCCATTAGAGATCTGCTTAACATCCATGTCGTAAAAGTTTGAGCTGGAATGAAGTTAAAGTAAGATCGTAAATTCGAACTGACATCAGTTCTGCCTGAGCAGTGGATGAGAAGACTGTATCTGGATGTTTTAAAGAATACATTCAAAGAGCAAACAAATGCAACTAATGGTAATTGGCACTGATGTTCTCGGTGAAGTGCAGTCTTGATGTGGCATTGTTCTTCTCCCCCCCTGATGAAATTCCAGCAGCTAACGTCACTGATGCAAATTGCCACAGGCTGTGCAATTCACCTTTAATTATGAGCATGTGGGTGTTGGCTTACTTGAGCTGCAGCATTTCTCAAAAGCATAACATGGTGTTTGAAAACGCATAGTCCTGTGGGAGAAGGGGGAACAAACGGCCCGTCCACACACAGGCATGAAAAAAATCTTGATGCTGGGCGTGTCTGAAGGTTGGCGATTTTTTGCGAGCATCGCGACCAACAACCAATCACATGAATCTCCCGCCCCCGACATACAAAGCAATAGCAATGTTAAAACGAAGTAAACTGGATATAAACTCCCCAAACGGGCGAAAACCTACCAGTTTCACCCACTGTCTCTGCCACCTCCCTCCATGCCTGGTTCCTCCGGTTTGTATTCCGGTAAATAGTTCTGGTCGTAAAGAACCGGGTGATTTGCTACCGTAATTTCTCGTTTGGAATATGAGGAAATGAACTGCGGTCTGGCTCTGATTTGATTGGCTGATGCCAGCTTCGAAAGCATCGGGAGCATCAAAAGTTGAACATTGCTCAACTTTTGATGCTCACGATGCTTGCAAAGCCATGCTCCGCTCCCCACAATGCAGTTCGGCGAAGATTAAAAATCTTCTACGTCACCCCATTCAAGTGAATGGGCGAAGCTTTGAAAGACTTTTTTCATGCCTGTGTGTGGACGGGCCGTTAGGCTGGTCAAATGTTTACATTGAGCAAATGTTTTGTGCTCTTCTACTCTACTTCTACTTTCAATGTTTGACACTGTGGCGTCAAGTACATAATGCAACAAAGGTGCCCTTGCAAAACATGCAGGAATAGGAAGGCAAGAATGCTGCGTCTTATCTTTAGTATGTTTATCTCTAGAGATATTTAGTGTGCACTCGAGTTTGTATACAGCTTTCTTACGGATAAACACAATGGTTCCATTCATCAGAGCCAGGAAGATGGATTTGCGGGTCGTTCTCTAGTTTTTTGAAACTTTGGATTTAGTCCAATCATGTGACGTTACAAGGAGCGTACAATTCCCAGTGCCACAGTAAGCACACAGATGGCTAAGCCTCACGTGAAGATGATAATGCAGCAGCTCAGAGTCTCATCAGTGTGGTCCAACTGCACGTATTGTTGCCTTCTGAATGACAGGCGTGACATATACGCAGTAAATATTTCAACACTACATGTATAAAAGACAGATGTATAGCAGTCATACTCATCCCTTAGAAAATGGCCCTGTATGTGGACAACAGTGCCCAAATACTTTAAAGCCTTAAGGTGTATTTCTGTGTCGATAAGAGCTTCTTCTGTATTAGCTCATTCAGACACAGCACAGAGGACCCTTGAGACTCGCCATCTCTCTCACTCTGTCAGACATACAAACACAACAGAGAGGAGAAAGAAAAACAAAGAGAAAATGGAGACAGAGCGGCGAAAAAGAGGTTAGAGATGGAGAGTGCGAAGTGTCAAAGGGAGTCCAAGGCAGGGAGAGCACATTGTTCTTGTCCAACACATTCAGCGCTCACCTCCAGCTGACGCTCCCTGTAGCGTGGGTCTTTCACAACTTATCACACTCCTAGAAATGACTCCCCAACGCCAGGAATTTACTGCCAAATCGAATAATTACTTTCCAGACTTTGGTGGCTATTGTATTATGGGAGCCTATTCACACTCAGAGTCTCCAGTGACTGTGACCCCAAGTCAAAATTGTCAATTTAATCATAATTAATAATGGCACTGCTGCAGCGTTTCAATCCTGCGAGTCAAAGTCATTAAAATGGCTCCAAGAACTCCTGGACTTTATCGTCTGCAGGAAGTAATCAAGTTTGGATAGGCCTCAGTAATTCATTAATATAGCACCTCCAGAAAATGAAAAGGAGGGAAGGGTGACTTTGTCCACAGGAAATTTGTTTCTTCAGACATTCTAGGACAAATCCTTTTGTTTGATAATCAGGCACGGTGAAAAGGTGCAAAAACAATTATGATGTTGATTCATTCCACATATTTATTCATAATTCCAATAGTCTATTTTTTCTTTGTAGTGGAATTGGTTTACATTCTGGAGATTTACCAAGGTGTTATTGTTTAATTGAATAAAGTCATGGTGGACGACAATTTAATATGCAGAAAGAAGTCCAATCATTTTACAGCAAAATAAATAAATAAACACATTTATTTTCTTTCTTCAGAAAAAACCATGGAATGCTCCATCATGGCATTATAATTTATATATTAGTGGAAAGAAGAAAAGTCTAGATTTCTGATGGTTTAAGTGTCCACAGTAAAGACAAGAAAAGGGAACAAAAACAAGAATAAAGTACAAGAGAAGGAAAGAGAATGACGGACACGGAGAGCTAGCCGACAGATAATTCAGCTTGGCGTTGGGTTCCACCTCAACCTGTCGGGGTTCCTCTTGCTATAATGACCGTCTCACTGCAGAGTTTCCCTTACTTCATTGTGAGTTTCTTCGTGGAGATGTGTGCTTACCTTGAAAGCTCCCGACTGACAGGTAAAGCCAGGTGAGTGCTGGGATGAAGAACAAGGCAAGAGAAGCCGCCAGGAACTTCCTGCGCCCACGACACATTCCCAGCATCCTCTGGACCAAAGCAAATGGAAAGAGAGGTGAAGTGACCTCTATGTGGGGAGCAGCTGTTGTCCAGGCTGATTCATCGCACTGGGGAAAGAAAAGAGAAGGAAAAAACATTCATTTGACATTCTGTACAGACAGAACTACAGCTGAGCATGGCTTCTGCTGTATCCAAAATAAAATACATCAGAACCTCTTGTGCAAACAATCACATTTAAAATGTTTGATCTATGATCGTTTTGGTATCATTAACTATTATTCATTCTCGGTCTGAAATGGAAACAATTTAGAATAAATAATGGAAAAATTATACAATTTACAGAATACGGAAAAGGCGTTTTCAATTCCCCAATTTTGAAATGGTAGGTCTGGAACACATAACGATTGGGGCACCATATTTGGTTGGGTTGCATCATGCTATGTAGTTGGCATAAAAACCAGTATCTTATCTCAAGTTCCAAAGAATGTCTTGACACCAGTTTGCTACTTATAATGAAAATACCCAGGGACTAGTTTGAAAAATGAGTTATGCAGGTATCACATCATTGGAGCGAGGAATTCATTAACATAATGTAATTTTACTCGCAAGGGACTAACAATGTCTTTATAAAAGCATTCCATTTTGGTTTAAACGGGTCATTGTGTTTCTTTCTCGCCAATTGTAGATCTGCACCTTTAAAGGTTTGAGCTGAAATTAGATAACCACTGGTACATCTAATTAGACAAGACAAATTAGGGATAGACATCGCCAAATGGTGGATCCATTCATATATAATTTAAACTAGACACTGAAACATATACAACCGCAAGCCCGAAGAAGTTCAACCCTTGTTTAAATAGATTCACGTTGCTTGAAAAGTTACATACTAATCTGACTTTGATGACCTAGACTAATGTGTCAATCCTAGTGTGATGCAGGGCAGAGAGTATAGAGGTCTCATTATATGATATTAGTCGAAATCCTCTTTCCGTTACAACCACATTTGTCCAATTACCCTGTTGACCTCAGTCGATTTCTAATCTTCACCAGAGACTGCCAAGGGATGAAACTGAATACCTCTGTGCGACACTTTGGAGGGTGGCATAAACACAAGACAGGATGCCAATTACCACCGAGTAGAATGCAATATAAAGTATTTCCAGCACTCTTCCCAGCACTTACTGAATCTCCAGGGATATTGTGGCCTGGGCAATGAGAAGGGCTCAGAGTGAGACAGGGTTAAGTGAGGCTAAAGAAGATTAAACAAGTCTCAAGTACGACAACCACTGGTTTGATAGCCGGACTATGAATCATTTCAGAGCTCCTTAGCCTTTGACCTCCGTTTGATATGAGCTCTCCACTGGATGCTGTGATTTACATTGCAAATGCTACACTAAAGCCATTTATTAGCATATTAAAGTGAGGTGTCATGCCATTGTGTACACTAAGTAGATCCAGTCATACAGGGATTAAGAGAGAGAAAAAGCATTATGTAGCAAAAAGGAGCTCAGACTGAGGAGCAGCAGCCGACTGAAGGAAACCTTTGTCATCAGCTATTAGCGTCTTTGCTAAAAATGTGGCACAGCTTCAACAGTTGTGACAGTTTTAAAACAGCAGCACAAAGACAGACAACGGGACAACTGTACAGTAGGACTATTTGGATGCACACCTGAATTAAGTAAATCAGGTCAAATCTGAAACCTGCTATACCTGAGACCTTGGTTTTGGTCTTTTTTGCTAAGGTAAGTTCCAAAAGAAGTTGAAGCAATGATCAGAGCTGTTTAAATTAGGGATGCCAGAAACTGACCATGATCAAATTCGAAAATCGGACAGCCCTGGCGAATATTATTATCGATTATTCGCCGCCCCCACTTTAGAACAATAGGCCGTACAATTCAAAGTGGTTCCACGAGGAACTCTTCTTTGAACGTGCCGCTTTGTTCATCTTTAGTTGTGTTGTTCTCACTGTTCTGTATATCGCCAACAAATCAATCGCACGTGTGACGGAGAGGTGG